TTTAAACCCTTTTATGTCCTTTGATGCTCCCAGTCTCTGGATTTCCCTTTATGTTCTATTCTCCTTTTATTTCTCCTTCCAAACTGGTTAATTGTATCGTAAGCTGTATTTTTTCTCTTTTGCCTTTATCAAAGGCAACCAATAACATTCATCACACATAGTTATTAGTTTTTCCCCAACATCTTTTCCTTGACTTCTAAACTTGGTCTGGTAAGGCAAACAGGAGTCTTCTAACCTCCTATATTTGTTTCTCTGCTTCCCACTGCAAACCTTCTAAATTGATGCCACTTGTTTTAGTATTTTATTAAGGTGGCACCTAAATTCAGATTATCAATCTCTATCTTAAGACAGTAGCAAACAACTCCTGAACCTCAGAGGCTTGATACAAAAGTTTCCTTCTCTCTCACTGAAAAATCTATTCTGGGATAAAATAAGCAAAATTAAAATGGTCTTTATATCCAAGGGAAGAAAGGAAAATGGGAATGAGAGATACATAAGGAATTTAAAAATCATCAGTACTAATTCCCAACACCACCAAAAACAAAACTGCTAAGAGCCACAGCCAAGTAATATGATGCATGGCATTTTTGGTTGGAAGGTGATGCCAGCTAGCCATTGAGATGATATGATTATGTTAAGATTTACATTCATATACATTCCTGCTGTCCACCTCAGCCTGCTACAGGACTCCTGGAGAGTTCCCATTGGTTGGGGAAATACAGTAGGAGGGATTTCCGGAGGAGGAACTTCCTCTTGGGATCCGGGAGAACGCCGCATGCAATCTTCCCGGGTGTGTCAGGGCATTGGCGGCAGTTTTAAAAAATAAAGTTTGTTCCTGCTTGAGTGGCTCGTGATTTTGTGCCTAGCCAGACTGCGGCAAAAAACAAAAAAATTATTGTTAAAGTTATAAATACTTTATATTGCATATGTATACATACACTCTTGAGCACATATACAATTTTCACAATAAAAATTAGTTGACTTTTAAATCATATTGTTTTATATCATATTGTTCATAAGGGAATTATGGATGCCATTTTTTTCTACTTCATATAATGCCTCTCCTTCACACACAAGTTTTTAAGAATGTCTGAATTGTTTGGCTATGAAATTTCTCCTGACTCAAGTCAGCTGTCTTTTCAGCCAATGGAAAATGAGTTACTTTGTCATTCTGTGATCTCAGATCTCAGGTAGTAGAATTATAATCACATGCTCCTGGGGAGCTACTTCTAATGGCTGGGCTGGGTTGCTGTCCTGAGGAAAATGGCCTCAAAAATGAAACAATATGGCAATACACACCCTCGCTCTGGACCTTATGTGACACAGACCCTTATCCATAGTTATAATGTCACTTTGGTTTAGTTCCACACTTCCTAGCAAAGAACTATGGTTAAAACGAGGCATATTTATTAGACAAAGTCCTGTTTCAGAAAGTGCATTAGTATATTGGGTGATGAGAAAACTGTCAAGTCTTATTGAAGTCTAGTGCAGGGCACCAATATAAATTGTTACTATTGCTTCACCTCTTTTTTGCCTAAGGGCAGTAGTTCCTAACTCAATGGGGAAAATATGTATTTATTTTTATCTTCTACCAATTAGATAGTAGGATTTGAAATCTAGTAWAACAGTGTCTGCTTTATCATGCTACTGCTATGGAGTTATAATTATTGAGCACAGGTGTGAGAGGTTGTTATAGACTATTTGAGATACTATAACAAAATACCATAGAGTGGCTTATAAAGAAAAGGAATTTATTTCTCACAGTTCTGAAAGCTGGGGAGACCAAGATCAATACAATATCAGCAGATTTATGTTTGGGGAGGCCCTGCTTCCTAGTTTATAGATGGTGTCTTCTCACTGTACTTCACATGGTAGAAGGGGCAAGGGACCTCTCTCTTTTATAAGGGCACTAATACCATCCATGAGGATTCCTGTATCATGATCTAATGACATCTTAAAGGTCCCATTTCCTAATATCACATTGGGAATTAGGATTTCAATATATGAATTTTAGGGGGATACAAATATTCAGTCTATAGTGGGTAGATTTAGAAATACTTTGAAAATTTCCTGTTGTCTCCCCAGAGTAACCACAGAAGGAAAGTGTGAGTCAGTGCATAGCATGGGTGAAACCCAAGCCAGGACAAATGAGAATGTTTAGGGGTAAGAGTGCTAAACCTTAGACAATGCAGCTGTTGTCAGAGCTATACTTTAAGGATATGAAAAACTGAACATGAGGCAGAAAGGAGGTATGCAAGCAGGAGAGGTTCTAACTTCTTTGATGCAGGGAAAGTGGGACGAGAAAATTTTTTTAGGCTCGGATCAGAATCAAAGAAGACCAACAAATAAATTAGTATCTGGGGAAGATCAGAGGAAATATCCAGCTTGGTTTCCAAATCATAAACTATGTCAAAGAGATTTGATGGTAAAGGTCATCCCTTAAGGACTGCCCAGGACATCTGTGGGCTTTAGCTGATTCATCTAACACTATAATTTCAAGAAAAGTTCCTCTAGCTGGATGTGTGTGTCCTTATTGGGAACTATTGGTGGGAATCCCAGAACTGTTCGGGAACAGAAAACTAATCTAGTTGACCTGATTGAACTCTTAAGTCTAGAAAGCCACATTAGGGCAAGATAATATGATTCCTAAGATCACACTCAATGACTAAAATGACCTTAATTCATTCTTTCATTAAATATTTTCCCAACCTCTACACTAATGCTATTTGGGGACAGGTAATTCTGTTGTAAAAGGCTGTCTTGTGCCTTGTAGGATAGTTTGCAGCATCCTTGAACTACATTCATTTGAAGCCAGTTCACCCCACAATTGTGATGATGAAATCTGCCTCCAGATATTGCAGAATGTCTCATGGGGCGCACAATCCCCTTCAGGGAGTGCCATTGTTTTTTAGTAAATGTTTGTTCTTGTATAAAGTAAGCTTTCTTTTTCTTTTCTCTTTCTGAAGATTGAAAACAAAAATATTTAGGCTGATTCTTTTTGAAGTATGAATACTTATATTCTAGTTACAGAAGAAATTTGTTATTTTTTTTCTTCTTCCAACATAAGAGTGACGATTTCCTCTCACCTAATCTTAGAGGCATTTTAAAATTCAAACTCAAAAACAATATGTCTTTGTTAATTTCAACAAATGTCCTTGACACTGTTAGCATCAGACTTACTATTCTTACCCTCTTGAGCAACAAAAACCTGGTTACTGTTCAGGAGGAGATGCTCAAAACTGCTTCAATTCCTACCTCACCCCAGTGTCTAGCCATGACTTCCCTCGTTGCCCTGTATTGGTGGGCAAACCAACTGCCTCCCAGGCATTTATCTAGATACTCTCAAACCCTGATTAGTTGGAAAAGCAATAAAGAGGTGATATTCGTGTTTATTAAAGTGTGAACATTTACAGTTGTCCCTTAGTTTAAATGGAATTGTTTCCACAACTGCTGCACATACCCAAATCTTCAGATGCTCAAGCCCCTTATATGAAATGGTGTAGTGTTTGTGTATAACCTACTCATATGATCCTATATACTTCATCTCTACATTACTTGTGTAGGTGGAACATGCCTAATTCAAAAATCTAAAATGCCCCCAAATTTGCAATTTTTTAAAGTCCTGACATGACCCCACAGGTTGTATCACCATTTTTCTCAAGTGAGAAAATCATTAAAATTTTGAATAAAATTAACTGTGTGTACAAAGTATTTATGAAACACAAATTTATTGCTTAGACTTGGATCCCATTACCCAATATATCTCATTATGTACATGTAAATATTCCCAAATCTACAACTTCAAAATCTTAAATATTTTAGATCTCAAGCATTTCAGATAAGGTATAATCTGATATGTAATATGATGTAAATTCTATGTAAATAATTGTTATAACTGTATTGTTTGTGAAATAGGAAAAATTGTTTGCATATGTTTAGAACAGACAAAATTTTCTTTTTTTAATATTTTCAAACTACCTTTGGTTGAATCCATAGATGGGGAACCTACAGATTCAGAGAGCCAAGTGTACTTCCAAAAGTAAAACAGAATGATTTCTTCAGAACTTTATTGCTACCTTTTCTTTCTATCAAAACAGTATAAAACCACAGCAATACTTTTGCATATTCTCATGATCCAAATCAGGCCCCCAGAGCACAGCACCTGCTGCTCCTGAACCAGGATGCCTGCCCAGATACCAACTGTCTGCAGTGGTGGTTCCCATAGATCACTTTCGTTTGACGCATTCAAGTGAGATCAGGTGTCTACCCCAAACCAAAGCACCCCTCCCTTCTAGCACTGGAAAAATCATAGTGGTAGTAAAGACAGACAAGAGGAAGTACCCTTTATGAACCCCGGGTCTCCATAGATGGTGATAAAATGCTTAATGAAGGCTGAATAAAGGGGTTAGAGCCTCTGCCAGAAGATTTCTTATTGCCTCACTCTTTCAGTTGATAATATGGGGACAGTGTTTGTGGAATCACAGGACAAGATCAAGTCTTTCTAAAATTTTTAATTCCCTAGCAGTTTGAGAAGAAAGCACCATACATAGTACTTGCTTTCCCSATCACGAGTGCGTGTTGAATAAGGAGAAAAACCTGTGTTAGCTAAATTCCTAACATTCTGCCAGAAGGGAAGACTTAAGTCTTTCGGCCAGCCTGAGGTACGGCTGGGCTTCCCATTTATGCGGGGGGCAGTGGCAGTTCTACCCCAGGCCTATTGGTGTGAGATCCTTTTGGATAAGGGAGTTGGGGTTGGGCAGGGGGTCCATGACAGTCTCCTGACAGCCCTGAGGAGACCTTGGGAGAGCTCCTTGGAGCGGACTATAGCTCCCCCAGGTGCCAAGCCAGTGGCAGGGCCACTTTAAGGGCAGCGGGGCGTGCGCGCCCACAGCTGCTGCGCCAAGGAGCCATTAGTGCAGCGAGCAAGCCAGGACGCCATGGGCCGCTGAGCTCCTCCTGCAGGGAGGCTGCCCCAGGACTCTGCACGTGCGCTGCGGGCCATGGCCGCCTCAATTATCAGCCAGGAGCTCGTCCAGATCTCGGGCCAGGTAAGAGGAGGAAGACGTGGAGAAGGAAGGGGAGGCAGCTGCGTTTATAACCGCGCGCGGCGAGCCCGGGGGCCCAGGCCCCTGCCTTCTGAGCCCGGCTCAGGCCGCCCTCATTGAGGGGCCGTCTAGGAGGGCCACTTCATGGGCGCGCCAGCAGCCTCCAGGTGCCCCCAGATGACGAGCGTGGCCCCTGCTTTTGAGATGCCCCCCAAGCGCCAGGCCCTGGCCCTTGGAGCCTTGATTTTGGGGATGGGGCCGAATTACGTCAGGGAAAGAGGCCAAGAAGAAAGGGGGCTAAGCCGTTCTATAAAGCTAACCTGACTCCCAGCTCTGGACACTTGCGTAACTTAAAATCATTTTTTTAAAGAAGGCCGCTTGGAGAGTTACCTAGAGCAAATTTTAATATGTACTGGAGATAACTGGGGACAAAATGTCAAATATTTTTTAGTGTTAATATAGGGAAGACATTTATTTCACATAGGAAGCTTATTTCCTGCATTCCTGTCGCTACACAAGTTGGCTTCCTTCGGGTTTGCTAACTAGCATGGTGTCCCAAGGTACCCAGGCTCAAGCTTGTGACCAAGCAGGCATGTTAGAGTGGAAACCCAAGCCGCGCTCAAGAAAGGTACCTGTGCTCCACACACCCTCCACCTGCCCAKGGCAATCACTGGCCTCTCTGAAAGCCCCCGTTTAGCTATTCTCTTGCAAAGCCCAAAATGATCATGGCAACTGTTTTAGATAAAAATGTGAGGTGGTTTTTTAATCATGAACAAGACCTGGTCCACCCCAGACAGCAAAGCAGCCAGTGGTGTCTCTCCTGATGGTTTCGAAGACTTTACAGATAAGTATGGGAAGCCTCAAGGGCTGAGTGCAGTTTTGTTAACACTAAGAAGACTCTACCTACTTAATCACTTTACTTCTTCAGAACAAACCTCCTGAAATGGAATGGTGATTTTGAAATGGACCCGCTTAACAGATTTTCTTAATTTTTTCAAGATGAGGGAATAAGACCCTGCCTCAAAATAAAAACTAAAAGRGGCYGGGATGTAGCCCAGTGGTATGAGTACCCTGTGTGGTTCAATCCCTAATACCAAAAAAATAGAATGAAAAGTAGTATTTTGTGGTGCAGGATKAAGCAAGCTGCACAAAATGGAATTCTGAATAAAATATCTGATTATCTAGTAGTACATAAATAATTGTGGTTTCCTACCCGTGAGACTATGAAGCCCTGACTAAACCTTTTGTAGGCCATTTTGAGAARAACAGCTTGCTCAGTTTCTCCAGATAGAGCTGCTTAAATCCCTTGACTCCTGGGGAAACTGGAAGCCCACAATTGCCTCCTGAGAGCATGGCCCATGCAGCTGCTGCTGATTGTCAGCACTGCTCCCGGTGATAAGAGTGACATAAATAACAACTCACTAAAATGTAAGAGTGATTTGCTTTAAGCACTTCAGCACCTGCTGTTACTAATTAAGGGTTTAGCCTGCCACCGACTGCAAATGGAAATCCTGTGTTTTAAAAATTGTGAGATTGGAGTGCCCTGTGTATTACTGTGACCATGGAAATCAAATGAAGTGGATAAAGAAGGTTGGTGGTGATGTCACAATATTAAAACTGCCTATACTTAAAAGACGTATACCAAGGCATTAACAGTATATACCCTGAGTGGTGGGATTGCAGATGATTTTTATTTTACTTTAGGTCTTTTAAATTTTCCCAATGAATATGTATTGCTTTTTTTTCTAAAGGTGCAATAAGCAATTCAAACAGAAAACGATTTGCTGTCAAATGAAGTCTAGTAKCACTCCAAATTGTGCTCACAGGTGAAAATCGTAGATGTTCTAAAAGGCAGTTTTGCAAAGCAGAATATACTAGAAACTTTTATTCCTTTTTATTATCAGATCTTTCTCGTTGCTGTTTCAGTATATCATACCATCAACAAAGATGATGATTTATTTATTTAACTAAGTAAATATTCAGATTTATGTTGATTATAAGCGGTTTGCTTAATTCGAGTTGCTGGGTGGTGGACTTGAGCAATGTTCTAATTTGTCTGATTACTAACATTCCAAGTGTGCTATTGGCATTGATTTTTGTAGGGCAGGGAAAGAAGCCTTTGACAGGACAGCAATTCAGGTCTTTCCAAAACTCCTTTATTTGAGCTGCTGCTGCCACCATGCAAGGCACTGTGCAGAACTGCAGGCTCCTGTGCATGGCAGTGTGTTTGGGGTGATAGTTCTTCCCAACCCCCTTCTGGATCTCCTTTCTACTTCTCCACTCCCTACTTCCTGTGTTCTGCCCCTTTCTGCTCTTTCTCAGCTCTTCTCCACAAGACTGAGATTCTGGGGACATTGCAGTCAGCCCACCAGGTGCTGACCAGGAAAAGGTTCAAGTTAGGCAGCTGATTTCTGTTATTCAAACTTGCCTTCTGCTCCTCAGCTGCCCTGTTTCCTGAGCTCTGTAGGCCAAGCAATGCAGACTTCATTTCCATTCAGAGCTGTTTTCACTACCCAGCATGGACACATTCCCGGCTCTAATTCTACCACTCCCTTTCCCCCTCCCCTGTCAGGTTGAGTTGACATTTTTCTGTTTTTTGTGCTCAGGTTTGGTATTGCTTGAGAAWATACGGCAATAACTACCACCCACAAAGCATGAACAAACATTTGTCCTCATAACAGTCTCACAATGTAAAATCTAAGTTTTATCCTCCAGAAAAGGACCACATGAGTATTCTACTCAAAGCCCTAGTAGGTGTCTGAACTAAATGGCAGACCCTGGTCTCTGCCTCAAAAGCCTTTGTTCCCATTCACTGCATCAGGCTGTCCAAAAAAAAAAAAAAAAAAAAAGAAGAAGACAGTAACAGCTTTGGTAAAAGTGAAGCTCAAACACTATTCTGTTTCCAAGGATGAAAGGCCATGCTTTCTCAGCAGCACAGTAAAAAGCAGCTAGATTGTAAACCCTGTCAGGGCAGGGGCTGCATCTGCCCAGTAGGAGGGGTTCAATATCTATGGAGATAGTAAATATGAAGCATATTTAAGCAGCACACAAAATGGCAGGGTGTTTTAAAAGAAAAAGTGTTTCTATTATAGAGTTTTACAAATTATTCATAATCYAGGACACCCTGATTTATACATAATATTTTCATATAATTATAGCACTTTTTTTTTATTCTTAAAAATGTGTCTCAAAAAAGGTTAGATTATATATACCAGCTTGTTATTTGGGGGCATYTGTAAGTTGCTTCAATTAATAGGTTAATTCAAAAACAAAACTATAATCACTCCTATGATGACCATTTGTTAGTGATTTGTTTTAGTGCTCAACTTTGGGGGTCACAGAGAAAATTTATTGATATAGAATAAATCATGCTACAGTGGAGAGTCACARACAATCTGTATTCAAAAAGTGCTCCGGAAATACTATTAGAAAGAGGAATGCTTATAAAATAAAAAACAAACACACTAGAAGGGTCCCTTCACACTGCTACAGAAATTCCAAACTTCAAAGCTCATTCAAAGTGTTACGCTGTCTTCCTAAAATGTAGGGTATTTGAGGGAAGTAGAAGGAAATAARATTGGCAAAGTAGGTTGATACCAGGCTATAAAAGCCTGCACTAGGGAGTTTACATTTTAATCCTAATTGTGAGTGAGAGGAGCGAGATTGGTTCACAATGGGAAACTCAGTACATGGGTAAACCTTCCATTCATTCCAAATTCCATGTAGGAGATACTCTTAGAAAATGTGAAAATAGCCAGGTTTGGTGGCTCCCAGCAGCTTGGGAGGATGCAGGTCTGAGGGCAGCTTCAGCAACTTAGCAARGCCCTGTGCTACTTTGTGAGATCCTGTCTCAAAATAAAAATAAAGGGCTGGGGATGTCGCTCAGTAGTTAAGTGCCCCTGGGTTCAATTCCCAGTAAAAAAAAAGAAAAAAAAAAAAACTTCAGCAAATAAATATGAAAAGTGGGAATGGGTTGGTATTCTAAATTAAAAGTCCACGGGGACATAATATCCAAATGCAGCGTATAGTTCTTAATAGAATCTTGGTTCAAACAAAACAGCTTCTCTCAACATTACAAAACAAAATTCCACAAGAAAACTTGAAATTTACAAAGCAGGTAAGATCAAATTTCCAATAAAATAATAGAAGAGAAACTAGAATTTRGCAGACATTAAGAAATACTGAGGTAAATAATTATAGTAATAGGTTAGATTCAGCGTTTGAAGAAACAAAGTGAGAGAGGGTGCTCACCTGGTTTTGAATTGGATGGATGCAGGACACTTGGGCCAAATGGGTGCCTGGATTTCTTTGCCTAGCTGGACTCTCCCAGCTCATTCCTGCCATAGCAGGAGCAGTGGTGCTTTAACCCCAGGGAACAACCCAGGAACTGATCCCTAAGGACAATGAGCTATACTTAGGAGGAGAACTGCCAGACATCAGCAGAACTAAACATAAATGCACAAACACAACAGTTATACCAAAGACAATCATCTGTTGAAATCCTAACCCCCAAGGTGATGGTGTTAGGCGGTTGAGTTGTGGAGATCAAGACAAAAGGCTCCCATCATGAATAGGATTAGTGCCCTTTTGTAAAARAGACTCCAGGAAGACTCCGTAGCCCCTTCTACCATGTGAGAAAACAGAAATTGCCATGTATGAACCTTAAATCGTGTCCTGACTAGACACCAAATCTGCTAGCACCTTATCTTGGACTGCCCAACCTCCAAAATTTTAATAAGTTTCTATTGTTTACCCTGTTTCTTTTTTTTTTTTTTGTACCAGAGATTGAATTCCTGGGCACTCACTGAGCCACATCCCCAGTCCCATTTTGTATTTTATTTAGAGACAGGGTCTCACTGAGTTGCTTAGCACCTTTCTTTTGTTGAGGCTGGCTTTGAACTCGAGATCCTCCTGCCTCAGTCTCAGCCTCACAAGCTGCTGGGATTACAGGTGTGCTCACAGCACTTGGTATCTTTTTAATAGCAGCCTGTATCTTTTTAATA